GTAAATATTTGCTGGATGAATGCTCAGCCCTTTATTTCACCACAGATGAATAAACTCTGGTGTCCTGGGCGGCCGCTGGAACATTTCTGACTTCTAATCTGGCACATTTCAGAGAGATTTCTTTTTTCCTCTGATTGTGAATTCCATCTGCTCTTTTAATTAATGAAAATTCACTTCTATGCAAATGCTGCTTCCGGAATCATCTTTCATGTGCAACCTCTGGGAGCTTTACTCATCAGCCTGTTCTCTGAATCTGTGTTTGGAACATTCTGGGAGCTTGTTATTGGGCCTTTGAAGTCACACAAGTGAACAAAATTGACCAGCCGGCAACTTGACCTCAGGAGTTTACAGCCGTGGGAGCTATAGGATTTGAATTTATTAAGAGAGCTCTGCTCCACCCTGTCTTCCCCAATAAACCCCCACCGCTTGGTACTGTCAACTCCCCATGGTGTCTGAGAATGGATCCATTTGGTTGTGCCCGCTAAATCCCATAAAACTCTCTCCGGTTCACGTGTTTATCAGTTTAGGGCTGAAGCACCTCTAGATAGAAGGAAACCAGGAGGAAACCCAAATCCCACGTACACTTGGGACAATAGAGTTTTCTCTTGTCTGAGAAATACAGCTTTATGATGCAGGAACTCTGAGTCAAAAAGCAGCTTGGTATGTGGGAAAAGCGCAGACTTCGGATCCGAACAGACATGGGTTCAAATTCTGGCCCCCTGACTTGCCAGCGGTGTAACTCTGGGCAGGAAATCAACACCCCCTGGGCCTCACCTCATCTATAAAATGGAGAGATGTAGAAACCTCACGTGGATCTTCTGAGGATTAAATGCAACGTGGGGCGCCTGGGTGGCTCAGTCGGTTAAGTGTCCAACTCTTGGTTTCGGCTCAAGCCATGATCTCATGGTCTGTGAGTTTGAGCCCCGTGCCGGGCTCTGCGCTGCCGGTGTGGAGTCTGCTTGGGTTATTCTCTCTCTCCCTGTCTCTGCCTCTCCCCTGCTAGTGCTCACTCTCTCTCAAAATAAATAAATAGAAAATTGCAATGACAAACATGTAGTAGGGTCACAATACATGTTGGTTTTCTTCTCCCTTTTGGCTGTGGGGCCCCTGTGGAGAGTGGCCAGTTGGGTCACCATTGGTCTGCTTTCCCAGAGGCTGGGATCCACGTCAGTAGGCAGCCAGGGAAGGAGGCTGGGGCAGGCCCGGTGGCGTCTCTGAGGAGGTGTGGGACAGTCTGCGATGCTCGGTGGCAGAGCAGAGGCAGAGAAGAAAGGGCTGGTACGATACTGCCTTGCATTTCTCCTGTGGTCTGCAATCTACAGTCCCGGAAATCAGTCTGCTTTTTGGGGAATAGCCTAAAGGAAGTCAGAACTAAGTTACAGGGTTATTGAGGCGGCTCCAAATGGGAGAGGCTTCTCTTTATGTCCTCTCTGTCTCTTCACTGCCCTTCGGGAGATGATGACTCAGCTCCACCTGCTCCTCCCGCAGTGGTGTCCCCTGCGCCTCTTCTGCGTCCTCCCTGGGGGGCCCTGTCACTGCCTTGGCTTTGCCCGATCTCAGTGCTGGCAACTCCCCAGTCCACAGATCCTGCCCACATCACTCCAGAAGCCTGGACGACATTTCCCACAGACATCTCAATTTCAAACTCAATGTCCTGGAAGCCCACGCACCTGTGGGCCTGCTGTGCTCCCCACACAGAGGACACCACCAGAGTCCACTCCGCGTGCGAGACAGAAGCCTGGGAGGCAGACCTAACACCCCTCCCACTCCTGTTCTCCCCCCTGTTCAAGTCAGTGGCCTCCTTGGACAGACTGGCCTCAGCTCTGGAACCTTCTGGAAAGGGATATCACAAAGACCTTCAACAGTGAAAGCTATATTGGTGTAAAGATGTAACCTCCCAAGGGGACTATCCGAAGTGAACAGACTCCCTTGTATGTACGCCTTCTGGTGCTCTCTGCTGACCTGGGTCTGACTCTTGTCACTAACATCTGACTCTCATCACTGACATCTGCCTCAGTGGGTCCCTCAGCCTCTTTCCTCAGCTCTATAATGGGAATGAGTAGTTGTGCCTGTTTGTGACATTAAATAAGGCTGCAGATGGCAAGCACTTTAGCTCAATGGCTGGGCACGTAGCGAATACTTAGAAGGACTATTTTTACCATTATTTGTGGCCAAACTTCATGTATTTAATAAATAAAAGTTGAACGACACACATAGCGAATTCTGGGAGGTGATGACATAGTTTTTGAATCTCTACAGATCGATGCATATAAACTGACAGAACAGATAAACAGCTAAGCCCAAACCCATGAGCAACACTTCTTCCAAAACTAAGTTGTCTCCCTATGAACGTCAAAGTGTAAATGGGTGGAAACAAATGATCAACAGGGACAAGACTTCCATGGTAGTGATTTCTGAACAGAGGGAAACAGAGAATACGATGGGCCAGAGAACAGAGAGCAGCAACACATCCCCACAAGAATTTCCTGGGAGTCCCAGCTGGCCAGTTCGAGAGTAGTGACCAAAGTCGGAAGGAGCTGTCCAGTCCAGTGTCAGGCGAGCGGAGGCGCCCGGGGAGCAGGTCAATCTGGGAACCCAGCTGGAGCTCCCTTCTAGAAGGAGCCCCAAGGAGAAACTGTTGGAAATGGAACCAAAAATGAGCAGGACAGGGGCCCTATAGACAGAAGAAAGAGAAGTTCTGGATCAAAGTAGGGAAGTGGAACAGACCAGGAAGTCCCAGATAGCAAACTGTCTTGAATTTGGACACTTCATGAAAATAACAGAAGACATTCAGTTAGAAAAGCTACCCTTGAGGCACCTGTGGGGCTCAGTCGGCTGAGTGTCTGACTCTTGATATCGGCTCAGGTCATGATCTGAGAGTCATGGGATCAAGCCCTGCATCAGGCTCTATGCTGGGCATGGAGTCTGCTTAAGATTCTGTTTCTCCTCGGCAAACCATGAGAGACTCTTGAATGCTGACAAAAACTGAGGACTGATGGATGTGGGGGTGAGGGGGGGATGGGCATGAAGGAGGGCACTTTGGGGATGAGCACTGAGTGTTATGTAGGAACTAATTTGACAATAAACTATTNAAGGAGGGCACTTTGGGGATGAGCACTGAGTGTTATGTAGGAACTAATTTGACAATAAACTATTTGTAAAAAAAAAAAAAAAAAGAAAAATATAAGAGGAGTGTTCATTAAAGAAGACATAATAAAACATGAAAAAGAATACAAAAAAAATAAATAAATTTATAAAAATCTATTTCTGAGAGAGAGAGAAAGAGAGAGAGAGAGAGAGAGAAAGACAGTGTGAGCAGGGGAGGGTTAGAGAGAGAGGGAGACACAGAATCTGAAACAGGCTCCAGGCTCTGAGCTGTCAACATAGAGCCCAGTGCGGGACTCGAAACCACAGACCAGGAGATCATGACCTGAGCCGAAGTCAGACGCTTAACCGACTGAGCCACCCAGGCCCCCCTATCTTCTCCCACTTCGTAGGTCATCTTTTTGCTTTGTTCATGGTTTCCTTTGCTGTGCAGAAGCTTTTTATTTTTATGTAATTCCAATAGTTTAAAGGCCTGAAAAGGCCTATCTAGAAAAATGTTGCTATGGCCAATGTTTCTTTGTGCTTTCTTCTAGGAGTTTTATGGTTTCAGGTCTCACATTTGGGACTTTGACTCATTTTGAGTTTATTTTTGTGAATGATGTAAGAAAGTGATCCAGTTTTTTCATTCTTTTGCATGTGGCTGTCCAGTTTTCCCAGCACCATTTGTTAAAGAGACTGTCACCTCCTCATTGTGTATTCTTGCCTCCTTTGTCATATATTAATTAACCATGTGTGTGTGTTTATTTCTGGGCTCTCTGTTCTTTCCCTGTGTGATTTCTGTGTCTATTTTTGTGCCAGTACTACACTGTTTTGATGACTACAGCTTTGCAGTATAGCTTGAAATCTGGGACTGTGATATTTCCAGCTTTCGTCTTTTTCAAGAATGCTTTGACTAGTCAGGGGTCTTTTGTCATTCCATTCAAGTTTTAGAATGGTTTCTTCTAGTTCTATAAAAAATGTTACTGGTATTTTGATAGGGATTGCACTGAATCTGTGGATTGCTTTGGGTGGTATGGACATTTTGACAATATTAATTTTTCAATCAGTGAACATGGTATAAGCCACTAAGTTCTGATTTGCATTGTTATACAGTAATCAATAACTAATATAGACATTATATTACTGTTATACAGTAGTCAATAACTAATATAGACATTAAGAACTAATAATTAATATAGACATTAAGAAAACTATATAAGACATGAAAGAACAACATAAATTGGAATTCAGGCAAGAAAAGTCAAGAAAAAAACAGAAATAAAAGGAAAATTATTCAGTAATAAGTATTTCACTAGAAAGCATACCATGCCAATAAACACAACAGATAATCTTTCACAGAAGGAGAAAGAGAAAAATGAGAAAGGTTCTAAACAAATAAAGGAAGAGATACAAAAGATTTGAAAATAATAAATATGGAAGATTTGTAAAGGCCCCACATTCCGATAGTAGGTGTAAGGGAAAACGGCATGCTTACTAAAAATGACACTTCCATCAAAGATCCTAAAGAAAAACAACTTGAAAAAACACATTGGAAAACACTGTGTACCTAAGAATATAGACCCCAAATGACCAACACCAAAGTTATATTTCGGCAACATGACTAGACATTAATAAAAAGGAAAAAATTGTTTTGTTTGTCTGATTTTGTTTGTTTTTCCCAGAAGCAAGGTTTTCCAGCTGGGTAGGAGTCCTTTAGAAATCACAGGAGGAGAAGGTCTTCCAGGCAGGGAAGTCAGCAAAGACAAAAGTGTGAGAATGCCTGGCACCTACTGGGAAAGGATGGGGCCTGGTATGGGGGTGGCGCAGGCGTGGGGATGGTGGTGGGGGTGAAGCACAGAACTCTGAGGTCTCAGGCACTGGGTCTACAACACCCCAAAGGGGCCTGGAACACTCACCCATGTACGGCTTGGTCCCAGCCATGGAGGAAGCCCTTTCCGCTCCTTTCACGATCGTCGCTATGTTGAAGTCCGTGATGTGGACGTGTCCTGGAGACAGAGAAACAGAAACCCCAGTGAACCTCAGCCTTCTCGTCAATAAGGAGATGATTCTTCCAATGTCTCCAGTCTTCTGAGGGGATGAGATGTATCTCCATGCAATCAATGGCCTGCGATTTCCTACCCCTTCCAGAGCTGCAGGGGGCTCTCCGGGCAGTTCTGCAGATGGAGAGGAAAGTGTGCACCTACCCTGAAGGTTCCAGAATTCAGGAATGAGCGGAACTCCAGGTTTCTCACATGTGTCACTTCTGAAAAAATTCCAGAGTTAAGGGAACACAAGAGACTGTTATGTAAACAAAGTGTGGTCTGTCCCCGCAATGGAGGAGCACTCGCAGTAAGAAGGAAGGAGGTACTGGGGCACTTGGGTGAGTAAAGCCTCTCCTCTGGCTAAAGTTCAAAAAAGACACTAATGGTTAAGAGTGGGTTTTTGAAGAATGGGTTGCAAAGGCTTTTGTCCAGATGCTGAGAGATTTTTAAAACCCTGCCCAGCCAGTCACTCAGTCCAGAAGAGTGAGCTGTATACTCAGAGTGGGAATCACAATGTTCATAGTGGCCCAAGACCTTGATGAGCCAATGCAGGGCTCCTGGTAATTCATAGAGGGGAAGGGGGGTGATGGGCATGGAGGAGGGCACTTGTTGGGATGAGTACTGGGTGTTATATGGAAACCAACTTGACAATAGAGATTAAAAGAAAAAAAAAATCCGCTTTGGGAGCTGGGTTTCCCAAGAACAAATGCTTGTGCTACTTTGGTGGACATGGGCTGTTTGTGGCCAGTCCTGTCTGCTGTCTTAACAATTACTGGTCCTGGTACCCCTGGCTTTGGGAGTGGGCCATGTGGCTCCATCTAGAACCAGTCAAACTAACCTTACCCCTCTGCTATGGGATTTAACTCAGGATTAAGCATATGACCTAACCGAGGCTGATGAAAACTGGGGGAGATAATTTTCCAAGGATTTCAAAAAATGAAGACCCTTTGGTCATTTTTTTCAGGAGGTACCTAAAGTGATATTCTGCCTTTGGCCAGTGTGAGGTGGGAATATGACCCCAGAGCTGTAAAAGTTATTTGCTACCGTAATGAAAGGAAGTCTAAAGACAAAGCCTACCCATGGAGGAGGTAGAGCAGCAAGCATAGATAAGAAATGGTGCCAGAGCCTGATCAAACCCTGCCTGAAGCCGCCTTCCACTGGATGTCAGCTATATAAGCGGAAAAAACACTCTTCACTACTTGGGATTGTTTGAGTTCCTCTTTGATCCTTGCCACACACGGCTTGTTGGGCATCGTGGTTGATACAGCCACTTACTAGGAGATCCCGGCAGGTGATTTCACTCTGGAAGCTTCCAGTTGCTCATCCGGTGAGTGGAACTAATATTAGTAAGTACTTTACAGGGTAGAGCAATTAGGGACTGAGAACGTGACATTGAACAATGCCAGAAGACAGGGATGGGATGGGGGGAAGCAAGCCATTGGATCACCAGGGGAAGCCTGTAGCTGGCAGAAGCTGAGACCAGTACAGACTCCTGCTAGGGGCCAGCGAGGGTGCCAGAGAGAGAAGGGGGGACAGGAGCTCAGACGGGGCAGGGCAAGGCAGACTCTGCAAGACTCCAGGGCTGCGGTGACCACAAGTGCCTTTTACTCCAAGTGAGGGGGTTTTGAGAAGGAGCCACATAGCCAACTCAGGTTTGAATGTCACTTTGCTGTGAATGGATATAGACAGGGCCAAGTGCCAAAGTGGGGAGACTGGTAAATAGGGAGCAAAAAATGCAGCGCCTGAAGATAGCCACTGTTATTAGGATCACATAGGAATAGACTTGCTTGGTGCCAAACCTCACGTTAAGCCTTCAAGTACACGTGTCAGGAGGGTACGACTATCCTCATTTTTACAGGAGAGTAACCTTAAGCCCCAGAGGCCAGTGCGCCGTGTATGGTCACACAGCTGATCTGGGAGGAAACTGGACTTTGTGCACAGCCTCGTCCTGGTCCTGGTCGATGAGTGTTTCCCTCTGCCCCACGCTGCCCCCTGCAGACCTGAACCAGACAGCCCTCAGCAGGGCGGGGTGAGGGCTGAGGGGCAGACTTTCTGGGACTCACCCTGAGATTCACACACAGCAGGTGCGACAGACAGACAGCAGATTCCACCTTCTGGTCCCTCCCTCCCCACCCCGAACAGTGCTAATTGATGAGCTCTAACTCCCCACTGAGCTTCCTTTAACAACTGAGTAAAGATGTGGGAAAGTGAAAATTAGTGCCATCCAAGGTCTCCTGTGGGTTCCTTCTCAGGAGAATGGAAATTTACTAGAAAATTTGCAAATATGAACAGAGTTTAGGCTATTTGCTTTCCATAAATTGAAAACATTCAAAACTCAGCAAGAGAAGGAGCTCAAGATGTTGTGTGAGACCCATTAGCACAAGTTTTAATGGCGGCAATAATCAGTAGTCACACTGCGGCCAAGATACCCTCCTTTCTCTGAGAGCACGAAGCTCATACATTTGACACCCCTTGGGATCCTCAGCCCTCTCCCCTGCCTGGCAGACTTCCATTCATTCTTCAAAGCCTGGCCCAAGGCTTTGCATTTACCCTCTGCTTGTATTCTTCCACCAACTGGAAACTCATACCACAGAGGGGGTTATCTCTGACTGTGCCTTGTCTGCTCAGGTTGCTAAAACAGGATATCATAGACTGGGGGCAGGGATTAAACATCAAACATTTATTTCCCACAGTCTGGGGGCTGGAAATCTGAGGTGGGGGTGCCAGCATGGTCGGGTTCTTGGTGACGGCCTTCTTCTTGGTCTGTACAGCAGCTTTCTTGCTGTGTCCTCACATGGTGGACAGAGAAAGCTCTGTCCTCTTCCTATAATGGCACCAATCCCACGATGGTGGCTCCAATCCCATGACGTCACCCAAATCCAGTTACCTTCCAAAGGCCCCAGCTCTGAGGATCATCACGTTGGGGGTTAAGGCTTCAACATACGACTTCTAAGTCAGAGTGGGGGCACAAGCACTCAGTCCATAGCAGATGGATTCAGGACTCTCCCACGACCCTCCTCTCCCCTCCAATGTCACTTCCATCTTACCATCCACCATACTGTATCTGTCACTTTGTCATCTCCTTGAGGCCAGGAATCCTGCCTTATTCATTTCTGCCTCCAGCTCCTTAGCAAAGGCCTGTCCTGGGGAAGGAACTCATCAAGTGTTTGTTGACAGACTGACAGACTGACTGCCCAAATGAGAGACTGAATGAAAGAGACATGGTAAGTTAAATCCTGTTACCTTCCCCCCACCCTTACTGCTTAGAGTGATATTTACAGGAGGTGATGACATTCCATGTCAACTTTTGACTGCTATGTCTGTAGTAATGTCATTTTCTCAGCCTTCCCTCAGATGGTGGGACCAGCCACCCTCTCCATGACTTTTGTAAACACAAGTGCTAGTGTCAGAGCTGGCACTAGGAGTTGTAACCGGGGCTATTTTCTGAGTATAAAAATACATGACAGCCATGTGGCTTTCAAGTCATTTTAAAGTCTCAGTCATTTCTTTATTCATCCGGCAACTGTTTATGGCCTGCATCCTGCCTGTGTGCATCAGGGGAGGGGCTTGAAACCCCAAAGTTACCACCAGTGCCATGACTACCACTTCCCAAGCTGGCCCTGGCACCTTCCCGACATGTTCCAGGGGAAGGCGTCCAAAGTCTTCTTGAAATTTGCTGCATTTTCATGTACCTTCTCCGCAGCTACATTGCATAAACGTCTATTTCTGTTCCACCCTTTGCCTTCCCTTCTCCCCTCTCAGCCCCTATAATGAAGTAGCCCCATGTAGGTATTAACCAAATGTACCCGAGCAATGCATTCACGTCACTGAGACCGACAAACCCACACCTGGGGGATCTGATCAGAGGGGACAGTGAATTCTCTCTAGATCCGTCTTCTGGAGGCCAAGCTTCCATGTGGATTCCTGGGAGTGGGTGTTAAGGCAGTGCCCACCAGGGGGTGCTAGACCAGGAGTGAGGATGGAAGGCAGTCTGTCCACAAGAGGCCATCACTTTCTTTTTTTTTTTTTTTTTTTTTTAACAAATAGTTTATTGTCAAATTAGTTTCTACATAACACTCAGTGCTCATCCCCAAAGTGCCCTCCTTCATGCCCATTCCCCCCTCCCCCCCACATCCATCAGTCCTCAGTTTTTGTCAGCATTCAAGAGTCTCTCATGGTTTGCCTCTCTCCCTTTCCCCCACCATTTCCGCCCTTCTTCTCCCCCTTGGTCCTCTGTCAAGTTCCTCCTAATCCTCCTATACGTGCAAACATATGGTATTTGTCCTTCTCTGCCTGACTTATTTCGCTCAGCATAACACCCTCAAGGTCCATCCATGTTGCTACACATGGCCAGATTTCATTGTTTCTCATTGCCATGTAGTATTCCATGGTATAGATAAACCACATCTTCTTGATCCATTCATCTGTTGATGGACACTTAGGCTCTTTCCATGTTTTAGCTATTGTGGAGAGTGCTGCTATGAACATTGGGGTACATGTGCTCCTATGCCTCAGCATTTCTGTATCCCTTGGGTAAATTCCTAGCAGTGCTATTGCTGGGTCATAAGGGAGTTCTATTGTTAGTTTCCTGAGGAACCTCCACACTGTTTTCCAGAGGGGCTGTACCAGTTTACATTCCCACCAACAGTGTAGGAGGGTGCCCGTTTCTCCACATCCTCGCCAGCATCTAGAGTTCTCTGATTTGCTCATTTTAGCCACTCTGACTGGCGTGAGGTGGTATCTCAGTGTGGTTTTGATTTGTATTTCCCTGATGAGGAGGGATGCTGAGCATCGTTTCATGTGTCTGTTGGCCATCTGGATGTCCTCTTTGGAGAAGTGTCTGTTCATGTCTTCTGCCCATTTCTTCACTGGGTTGTTTGTTTTTCGGGCGTGGAGTTTGGTGAGTTCCTTATAGATTCTGGATATTAACCCTTTATCTGATATGTCATTTGCAACTATCTTTT